ATCCATCTATCCATCCTATGACCTGTCAGTCTAGATACATATCTGTCATCTGTCTATCCTGTCTGTCTGTCTATCATCTATCGATGATCTGTCAGCCTAGATACAGAACTCTCTACCGGTCTATTCCCTCGAAAAATTTCTGCCCCCTCACCCCCAGAACACATAATGTCAGTATCTTAATTTGGCATTGGGGTTTGGGAGCTTTGAGGTCAACCGTTGGGGGATTTTTTCAGCCCCACAGACTAGAATCTCCTGATGGGAACCGTCAGAAATCTGCAAGCACAGTGAACTGGAGAGGAAAGTCTTGGCAAGCTCCCTCCAGAGAGATAATGTGGAGTGTCTATGTGATTTTCTGTTATTTTTATTCCAGAGATGGGAAGATGACTTAATTTTCGCTTTCATGACTTTTATTTTTCACCCAGACTCACTCAGCAGCTTGAGAGTGGGGTAGGGTGACTAGACAGCAGATGACGGTGATTTTAGCTGTTATCAGCATTTCTGTTAAAAAGTTTTTTCTTTTTCATTAAAGCATTAAACACTCGCCCACTGGTAATGCTGAGCACAGCCGCCTTTATAAACAGGCACGCGGGGGTTGCGTGCATTCTGTGAAGCAGGTGGTGACCTCAGGACGGGCGCATAGCTGTGTGTAGCGGGTTGAACCTCAGACATTGTGGGACAGCTGCAGGGAGGTGGACTGTCTGGATGGCATCGTCACACTGTGACTTGGGGTCTTCAGAGTCAGAACCCTCCGGAGCTTGGCTGGTCAGGATTCCCCCGTGGGCTGCATCGTTGGTGACACTTAGATTAGACCCTCAGACGGCCCGACTGCAAAACTTCTTTCCAATGGGCAACGGGAGATTTCTGTTGGGCGCTCAAGCTGTGGTGGTCTTGCATGGACTGGCAGCTAGCATTGCTGGCGAGGATGCTGGGAAGCAACACTTTCCATTCTCAAGCCGCCAGTTGCCTGTAGGTTATTGGGGGGGGCAAGTCCTTGCAGATATCCTGTACAGATTACCCACAAGTGTCTTGGAGTATGGGGTGGCTGCCGCCAGCCTGTGTTGCGCCCTCTAGTGTCACGAGCGGGTAGCTGTGAGCTCCAAGTTGGGGAGAGTTCTGGTTGAGGAGTCCCTGGCCTCTGTCCCTTATTCAGTCCCCTTCTGTTAACCCCTTTGGTGCCAGGATGCCACCCCGCTCCAGGATTCTGTAGCAGAGGCCTCTTTTCCCCTCTGCAAGCGGAACTTTCCAATCTGCCGAACGGATTTCTAAAAAGAAGCCCATTCATGATGTTTTGGAACCGCTGCAATGAATAATGCATGGTTTGGGGTCACCTCAGAGTACACGGGATTCGCAGGACAACAAGTATATCCCCTCTAATGGAGTAATTAGCTCTGGCCAGCTCTGGCAGGGGCTGAGGTGTGGGAGAGCTTTTCGTGTTTCTCTTGATGATGTTCACTGCTGAAATGGAGAACGTGCGATTTCTAGGCAGCGCTTTGGATGGTGCTAGAATCAGTCGCCACATTTTGGTTTTTCAAAACGTGTCGGACCTTGAGCAACTGAGGCTGAGCCGTGAGTGCCCTGCGAAGGCACGCGAGGGCCGTGCTGGCGCCTCAGCGGGTCTGGTGCCCGGTTCCCCCACCGGAGACTTGTACTGTCTTGTGGGGTCCTCAGTGGGCTTGGAATTTCATTGCAATGAATTGCAATGAATTTTACA